CTGACCCACCACCAAACTGGTCAATGCTGAAATATGTTACAGGCACCATAATGTTCTCCACGGCTTCTCCAGAACCTTTCATGTCTGTCACTGGTGCTCAGGGGCAACCTGCTCTTATCTGTGACAGCAAATTGGGCTCTAAATGCTGGGCAGTGAACATGGGGCCTTCTAGAGGACATTGTGGGCCCCTAGTGGACACCCATGAAGTCTGTTTGTTTGGTCAGAGACATTCACATCAGTGTCCTGCTGGAAGCTATTGTGTAGCTGTTCCCAGTGCTCCTTCTCTAGTTTAAAAAAATCCTGATTCTTCTTCTGTTGTCCTCCATTTGTCTATTTTCATGTAATTTTTTAAGGACGCACTACACAGTACTGTATCTGGAAGAAAAAACACCCATAAAGATTAGTCTCTAACATTCTTCTTTCATTGTCAAAGAAACTGGTTTTAGTAGAGACAGTGTGCCGGTACTGTGGCCCAGGCCTGAATATGTCAAAACGTTTCCTGTGGGATTGCAGATGCCCCCAGAAAATGACTTTTCCACTCGCACCACATCCTGGCAACTGATTGATGAGCTTAATTTCCTTTACTATTGTTTGTTTATGTTCCTCTTGAAATGAAAGGATAGCAGCACCGTATTATTACATATAAGCAGGCTGACATGTTAGGCTGATGTGGTGAAGATTGTAAATTGTACAGTTTCCTGCAAGATTAATTTACAGTTCTTTTTAGTGTTGGTGTTAAAGGTATCACAAGATTGATTTAAAAAGTATTTCAATTATTTAGACATTAATTTTTTTTTAAAAAGATGATTGTGACATTAGAATAAATATTACTTACTTTGTCTCGTGTTTTCAGGACAGTGCTTAAAAACAACGACTTGCGATCTAGACAAGAGTTAACAGCTCATCTGACCAATCAGTGGCCATCTCCCGATGCCATGGATGCCAATGCTGTTGCCTTGGATACACTGCTGTACAGGAAGACTACAGGACAGTGGGAGGAGTATGTACAAAGTCCTTGTAAAAGAAAATCTTCAGCCTACAAGCATTTATTTGGACGGTTATTTTGAAGTGTTTTCTACATTTGCTTTTATTTTCATGGTCAAACATAAGGCCCAGGGGCCAGAATTTGCCCGGCAAAGGCTCCTCCAAGGCTCACTGGATGGCTTTGGAAAACGTGAAGGAGGACATATATTTTTTAGTTTTCTTACAGCTTTTACCTACAAGAAAAACCTCCCCTATTGCCATTCATACATAAACAAAGTAATTAAGTAAAAGAAAAATAACTAAATGACAGAAAAGGTCCTCTTCTTGTACTATCAATTATAAAAAATTCAGCTTTTTTTAATTTAATTTTTACAATGGGTCCACTTTAAAAAAAAAAAAAGCTACTAGAAACTTTTCTGTAACTTAACTTAAATGTTTATCTATTAATATTGACAGATTTCTTTCATTTACTACAGCAGAATTTCTTTATCATGTAGAAAACAGAAAAAGAAGTTAAAATTGCACTTTTTTTATATTCATTTGGATTACATGTATATTTCATAGTGCTGTCAGCACGCTAAACGCGTTAATGTAGTCATCATGATTAACGCGATTAAAACTTTGAACTCTGTCAACCCGTCTGGAGTGCAGAATGGACAAACTTCGGACAAACTGCCCGAAATGCGTTGACAGCGACATTCCAGGGATTTTGAGACAGTCTGCGCTCCAGGTGAGTTAATTGTTAATCGTGTTAGTCATGATGCCTGCGTTTAGCTGCATTAACGCATTAATGCCAAGTCAACCCCACACGGACTAATCTACGTTAACTCGTTAATGGGGATTTGCCAATTTTGCGCTGACAGCTGTAATATTTAAACATCTTTACAGATATTCAAGTTTTGCTGGTTTCGTCAACTTAAGATCAAAGTGGGATATATATGGCCCACAATCTCTGCAAGGCCAATAGTACAATACCCTGTGATATGCAAACCAAAACAGTAAATATTTATTATTCAAACTTTTGGGTTCAGATGAAAAAAAAGTTTGAACAGCCAGCAGGTGGAGCCTCTGTCCTCACGAAGGAACAAGTTAATTATATCTGCTCTCATTTACATCATTCGTGTCGAGGAACTTTAAAAATAAGCAAGAAGGCAAGGCAAGTTTATTTATATAGCACAATTCAACAACAAGGTGATTCAAAGCGCTTTACAGAGACATTAAAGAACAAAAACAAATAAAAAGCATGATTTAAAATTGATTAAAAAACAAACAAACAAACAAAACACAAAAAAACAAAACAAAAAACAGTAGGTAAAATCAGAACAGTAGATAAAATCAGTAGTTAAAATGTAAGTTTTGAAATTTAAGCTTAAAAGTGTGGATTTGGTGTTTTGTTTTGTTTTGTTTTTTTTTCAAAAGCAGCTGAGAACAGGTGAGTCTTCAACCTGGATTTAAATAAACTGAGTGTTTCAGCTGATCTGAGGCTTTCTGGGACTTTGTTCCAGATATATGGAGCATAAAAGCTGAATGCAGCTTCTCTGAGTCTGGTTCTGACTCTGGGAACGGATAAAAAACAGGATCCAGATGACCTGAGGGATCTGGAAGGTTCATACTGGGCCAGGAGGTCACTGATGTATTTTGGTCCTAAACCATTCAGAGCTTTATGGACCAGCATCAGAACTTTAAAGTCTATCCTCTGACGGACAGGCAGCCAGTGTAAAGACCTCAGAGCTGGACTGATGTGGTCCACTTTTTTGGTCTTAGTGAGGACTCGAGCAGCAGAGTTCTGAATGAGCTGTAGTTGTCTGACTGATTTTTTTAGGTAGACCTGTAAAGATGCTGTTACAGTAATCAAGCCTAATAAAGATGAATGCATGGACTAGTTTTTCCAGGTCCTGTTGAGACATCAGATCTTTTATCCTTGATATATTCTTGAGGTGATAGTAAGCTGATTTTGTTATTGTCTTAATGTGTTTTTCTAAGTTTAGGTCTGCATCCATCACTACACCCAAATTTCTTGCCTGGTTTGTGGTTTTTAGGTGTATAGATTGAAGTTCTCTGAAGTGAAGTGAAACAGAAACAAAGTGTTTCAAGGCTTGATGTGCTGAGTGTTCATGGATGCTCTTCTGCATACCTTGATTCTAACAAGTGGTTATTTGAGCTACGGTTGCCTTCCTATCAGCTTCAAGGAGTCTGGCCGTTCTCCTCTTTCAACAGGTCATCTTGACCATGGGTAAATTTGCTGAGATGCTTACTTGTGATTGGCTACTTGGGTATTTGTATCAGAATACTTTCCCTAGGGGAAATTATTATTATTGTTATTATTATTAATGAACAGGGGAACAGCTGTTCCTAATAAAGTGTCAGTGACTGTATATAGAACATTGTCTTTACACAATTTGAGTCCGTTGTTACGTTTTAAGTTTGTACACAAACTTTTGTCTTGCCCTAAATTACCAACACAGTGTATTTAAATGGCTTTTGTCTCATGAAGTACTCGAAGTACTGCCATCAAAAACTCATTCAACTGATGAATTTTTTGGTCCTATCAGCACCAATTATACTGTGTGGCCTTTATTGATCTTTGTCCATTCATTGCAGGAAGAGTTTCCAGAGTCTGGAGCAGCTCTCTGCAGACATGAGCATTTCCCAGAATTCTCTCGAACCGTCCAACATGCTGAGTCTGGAGGCCAGGTCAGCCAGCTCAAAGTGGACTCACCAAGGTACGTCTGCACCTGGTAGCAAGCACTGCTGTCTGCGAAGCTTTCCATCGCTGGTGTGAACATTTACTGTACGTCTTGTCATCCAGGCAAAGAAGAAACTCCTTCTCTAAGAGGTCTGTGTGGCTCCCTGACCTCAGTCACCAGCTACAAGTCTCTGGCCAGCCTGAGGTCGAATGAATGTTTGGCCAGTCCTACAACAGAGGTCAGCAGCCCAAGTTTCACTCCTTCATAGGGAATGAAGAGTTAAAAACGCCTTTTGGCCAGGGCCAGATAATCCAGGAACCTTCTCCGTTTTGGAAATTGTTTGTAGAGGTTTATGTTATGTATGTGGAACTTGAGGATCTGGTGTAGCATGATCCAGCTCCATCAGTCTGAATGACGTCTTAATAATGTTCCACACCGATGAAATGACAGAGGATCTTCAAATGGAACTTCATCAGTATATGTTCAGTGTTTAGTTTTGTTTGTTTTTATCTGTGGAGCATTGTTGATTTCTATTTTAGGAAGTATTAGTCTGAATTATGTCACTTTACAGCCCAGAGGGGGCAGTGAAAAGGCTGCGCCTCTCTTAGGCTCTAGAGATTATACCATACTGAAAATGCTGACTGTAGGTCAGAGGTCTGAGAGGGAAAAATGAAAGACTACAAACCAGAGTGTCACTGAATTATTTTCTGTTGATAATGGGATGTATTCATATTTTTGGTTCTGTTGGTGGTGCCATAAATCACCCTTTTCTTCTATTTGTGATGGTTAATGTGCCTGTTTTGTCTCAGTACGTCATCAGTGTTTGGGATGAGGCAGTCTTTGTTGTTTGGTGTTTTTCTTCAGTTTTTCATCAGCTTTATGTTGCCACTGTTGTGTATCACGTGGTTTTGTTCTCAGGTAAGGATCACTATGAGTAATAACCACCCCAAATTTCTGGGTTTTATTTTAAAGTTGAGCTTTATTCCCTTTAATTATTAAAATGCAGTATTTCACTGTAATGGCTGGTTACCGTGGATAGATCATTGTTTAAAGTCTGTGTTGCGATTCAGTATGAATACAATTTGTATTGTTGGTAACTAAGCCGTGTACCTCAACACTAAACTCATTACTTTTTGCCTTCACCTCGTTCCAGCGGTCGTTTGCACAGACATACAGCAGATGTTTTACTGGATTTACCTTGTTATTCTTTATTTGAATAAACTACACTGAAACACTGACAACTTGATGGTGACATTTGAGTTTCTTGTCAACAGCAACAGGTGTGAGGAAAAGGTAATCGGGTATAGAAAATGACACATTTTCATATAGTACAATCTGAATAATGCTATTTTATTTACACTCACGCTGTAGTGGCACTCTACTGTGCAAAAGCAAGGAGACGTTTTAGGGATTCTCACAACACAGAGGAGTGAAATAGAGATCTTGTGTCTCCAATTTAAGGAGTTCAGGCACAGAGCACATGATCTCAGTGAGATACGTGGAAAATATATTACTAATAAAAAGTCTTTCTTTGATATACTAGCTCCTAAACACACCTGAAATGAACAAGGTGTAGATGAAAAATATTTCTTTCCAACTTCACACAGAATCTACTGCATTCAACAAAAACAATGTAAAAATTAATATGAATAAATTCATATCGATTCTGATCATCTTTAATATTTTACAATGCAGGAAGACAGACAGTTGTTTTTTTGGGGTTTTTTTTTAACCCCATTTGTGCTAATGTTTTAAATTTGGCAACATTAACTTTATCATGCTAAAGATCTGCACTGCAAAATGAAGCATCTGGCTCATCCAGATAACTTTAGAAGTAACACTGTGCAACTTCTTGGTTGACTTGCACTATGAAAGGAGAATATGGATTCACCTCAATGCATTAACTGCTCAGGCCCCAATAAATTTATCTAAAAAAATACCATCCTTTCCTTGATCTCATGGAGCTCGTTGTGCGGACAGTGAAAACTCTATATACAAACAGACAAGGAGTCCTAAAGCCCTGAGGTTACTTGTTCACCTTATATATACACGTCTTAATTATTGTTAAAGTATAATTTAACATCATTCCAACCCCTGACTTTGCTCAATAACCTCAAGTTAAATCTAAGTGGTTTGACAGTACAACCCTCAGGTGCGGTCTAGCAGTAGCTGTTGTGGCGTGCGTCGTTCTTCCAAGGGAAATCTGTCAGGGGTTGGTCTGCAGTGGTCCATGTGTCCTCTCTTTGTTGTGTTTTCGGAAAAAGGCCTTTCCAAACTCATAACTGCTGATCATGATGGCACAGGCTGGAGCCACTTTTATCACCCTGGGGAGAAAACCTGATAGAGAAACCACAGGTATGAGAAGAGTTTATATACAGTCTAAACAGAATGTATGCACTCTTTCAGTAATAAGGTTTCATGTATCAGGACATGAAAACAATCGGGCCCTTAGCAAGTCTTAAAATAAAGGTAAATACAACCTTAAGACGAACTATAAGAGAGGACATATATGTATGTATTTAAGCCAAAGCACAGAAGCAGCGTGTGAAAAAGTAAGCACACACTTAAACTCCTAATTTCTATGGAAGCTGTAAGTAGCAGCCAAGTGCTACTAATCAAATGAAGTTTTTCAGCTGATCAGTAAGTGTGAGCACCTCTAAAAGACCAGTTGGTGTCAAGTATTCACGTGTGTTCGCACAGTGTCAACGAAAAAGCTGCTTCTCTCTAAAAAGAGAGAGGAGGCAGCATGACTTGCATACATCTGAAAAAACCGCAAGACAGACGAGACCAAACTGGACATGTTTGGCTATAACGCATAATCCCACATCTGGCCAAAAATCACAAACAGCATGTCAGCACAACTGTGTCATAGGCTACGTTCACACTGCAGGCGAAAGTGCATCAAATCCGATTTTTCTGACCCTATGCGACTCATATCCGATCATGGTATGACAGTGTGAACGGCACAAATCCGATATTTTCAAATCCGATCTGGGTCACTTTTGTATGTGGTACTGAATCCGATACATATCCGATGTCTTAGAAATTGACTGCTGTTTGATGGTCATGTCGCATTAAATCCGTCTTTCCGTCACTGACACAAGACAGACGCCAATTATCAGCTCCGGAGAAGACATCGTGAACGCTTCCTGGACATCCCGTGAAACTGTTGGGAAGACAACGTTGGAGAAACGTGAACATTTTATTTGTACTGTATAATCTGCAGATTCTGACAGAAATCTGCAACTATCCTTTGAAGCACCGCTCCTCTAAAACAGCAATAAGGATCATTATTAGGTTATTTACATTATTATGTAAATAACAAAATAACTTAAAGCAAAAACTGGGAAACGTAAAGTCCGAAACAAATCTTTATATTAAGGCCATCAGTCAAACAATATTGTTTGCTCTGGGTCTAAACAGAGCGCGTTGTGTGTGACGTCTTCTTTTGCGCATGCGGGCCTGTTGGATTGTGTGTCCACAGGTGTTTGTACTTTGCGTCGTAATAAAATGACGGTAAAAGGCTCCGCCCACTTCCTATCCATGTCTTACCATGCAACGACTCTGTGAATGGACTGGAGAAGTGTAGTGGTAGAGTCCTCCGTCTGGAATGAGATATGTGTGTCGACTTTTTATTCTCCCTTAAAATTATTATGCCATAACGCTGCACAGAGCAGCTCTGCTAACAGGTTATGGGCCCAGAGCAGCAGTAAAGAGATCCTGTAACTGCCAAAGGAAGGGCAGCGTTTCCTGAAACCGCAAGTTACCGGCAGGTGTTAAAAGTTTGGCACGATTGAGTGAGTAAGCGTTTTTGTGCATCATGAGCAGACGCACGGCAGAGTCGGGCAGTCGATATTCCCGTTTGCAGTTTGATGGAGATGAAAGGAAATATGAGATATGGGAAACGAAGTTCCTTGGTCATCTCAGACTACAAGGTTTGAAAGATGTTATCTTAAAGGCTGAGGGTGATGAAGAAGCCGATGGTGAAGATGATGACAAAAATGCAGAAGCATATGCAGAGTTGATACAATTTCTGGATGACAAAAGTTTATCGTTAGTTATGAGAGATGCAGTTGATGACGGACGGAAAGCCCTAAAAATTTTGAGAGGTCATTATGCAGGAGTGGGCAAGCCAAGGATCATAAGTCTGTACACCGAACTTACTTCTCTCACAAATGAAAAGAAGTGTGACGGACTATATTATCCGAGCAGAAGCAATTATCACAGCGTTAAAAAATGCGGGTGAGTCATTAACTGATGGACTTCTGATCGCAATGATAATGAAAGGACTACCAGAGACATTTAAACCCCTGATTGTGCACGTTACACAGAGCGAAGCAAAAATCACATTTTCAGAGTTTAAAGTAAAACTCAGAAGTTATGAAGAAACCAAGAGAATGTGTGCGGCTGTAACAGATGACAACGTAATGAGGACAAAAGTGCAATTAGACCAGGATTCTACTTCATGGCGAGCAGATGACCGAAGATCAAAGAATAATGAGATTGTGTGTTTTAAATGTGGACTAAAGGGACACACTGCAAGAACGTGCCGATCCAGAGTATGGTGCAGTTTTTGCCGGAGTAGTACACACAAAGATGCGACCTGTAGAAGGAAGCTAAGACGGGATGAAGCGAGAGGGGTTGTGGAGAAGGACTACGTGTTCAAGACGGGCTCCGAACCCCAGAGGGTCCCGGACGGCGGCCAAGAGATGCTGAATAACCAGCTACTGGTGGATACGGGAGCGACGTCACATATCTTTACGAAGATCGAGAGTTTTAAGACTTTTGATGACACATTTCGACCCGAGGCTCATTGTGTAGAGTTGGCTGATGGAAGGCGGAGCAGAGGAGCTGCAAAGCGGCGAGGAGATGCTGAGATAAGTATGACTGACAGTAAAGGACGCAGTCACAAGGTAACATTGAAACAAGCACTCTACATTCCATCGTTTCCACAGGACATTTTGTCAGTAAAAGCAGCTACTAGTAACGGAGCCACTGTGGTTTTCAAACACGGGGACAGTTTTCTTAAACATGTTGATGGAACAAAATTCCCTATATATGAACACGAGAGACTGTTCTTTATAAACACTGTGCAAGAGTTTGAAGAGAAATGTAATGGATGTTTTGATATGCAAACGTGGCATGAAATTCTAGGACACTGTAATTATGAGGATGTTCAAAATCTGCAAAATGTCATTGATGGAATGGAAATTAAGGGTAAAATCAACAAAAATATGCAATGTGAAGCCTGTATACAAGGGAAGTTTACTCAAACTAGGAACCGAGAACCAGATGAAAAGGCCAGGGCAGCATTAGAGTTGGTACATATGGATTTAGCTGGTCCGATTACGCCAAACTCTAAAGAAGGGTTTAAGTATATTTTGTCGTTTGTTGATGATTATTCAGGTGCAACATTTGTATATAATCTGAAACACAAAAGTGATACAACTCAAGCAACTGAAAGATTTATTGCAGAGGTGGCGTCATATGGGAAAATCAAGTGCATTCGTACTGATAATGGAACTGAATTTACAAGCAGACAGTTCAGAGATTTATTAAGTAGACACGGCATTAGGCAGGAAACTTCAGCGCCATATTCGCCTCATCAAAACGGAACAGCAGAGAGGAACTGGCGAACACTTTTTGACATGGCGAGATGCATGTTAGTTGAGAGCGAATTGCCAAAGTCTTTATGGCCATATGCAGTACAAACCGCGGGAGTGATTCGGAACCGATGTTTTAACAAACGCACAGGTCAGACAGCGTATAAGATGTTAACTGGAAAAAGACCTGATCTTTCTAGAATGAAAAAATTCGGATCATTGTGCTATGCTTATAAACAAAATAGGGGAAAGCTGGATCCAAGATGCGACAAAGGTGTTTTCTTGGGATATGACAAAAATAGTCCAGCATATTTGATCTATTTCCCAAAAACCGGGAAAGTTGAAAAGCACAGATTGATAAAAATACTAAATCCCGCGACAATGGATCAACAAACACAGAGTGATCAGATGTATGAAGATGAGGTTTATGAATCCAGAAAAGATGGTGAACCCAAACAGACGAAGGATGAGGATATTCCAGATGGTAGTGAAAGCAGTCAAACTGAGTCCGAGGTTAAAACTGATGATAAAGTAGATGCTGGAGCTACACGTTATCCATCCAGAATCAGAAAGAGACCTGATTATTTGAGTGATTATATCACGGATGTGAAAGAGTGTGAAAATGAACAGATGCAAACCAGTGTTGATTATTGCTACAGATTGTTGTGTGAAATACCCACATCATTTAGCGAAGCTATTGTGTCAAGTGAGTCAAAAGAATGGGAAAGAGCGATGAATGAAGAAATCCAATCCCTTAAGGAGAATGACACATTTACTTTAACCACTTTACCAGAGGGTAAGAAAGCAGTGGGGGGTAAATGGGTTTATGCCGTTAAAAAGAACTCAGACGGATCAGACAGATATAAAGCTCGATTTGTGGCTAAAGGTTTTAGTAAAAAAAAAGGAGTTGATTATGAGGAGACTTTTTCACCGACTGCTAACTTATCGAGTGTGAGAGTTTTGATGCAGAAAGTGGTTCAGGATGATATGTTGGTTCACCAGATGGATGTAAAAACCGCCTATCTACACGCACCAATAAATGAAGAAATATATATACAACAACCAGAAGGTTTTGAGACAGAATCAAGTGAGACTAATAAACTGGTGTACAGATTAAAGAAATCACTTTATGGGCTGAAGCAATCGGGTCGTAACTGGAACCAAACCTTACATGACTATTTAAGCAGTTGTGGATTTAGACAAAATATTGCTGATCATTGTGTGTATTCAAAAGAAACTGAAAGTGAAAAAGTAATCATCATAGTGTGGGTGGATGATTTACTCATTGCAGCTAACAATGAAAATGTGTTTTCAGGCGTGAAAGAAATGCTCTCTTCTAAATTCCAAATGAAAGATCTGGGGAAACTTAACCATTTTCTAGGAATAGATTTTCTTCAAGAAAAAGAATGTGTCAAAATGTCACAGAAACTATATATTGAGAACATTTTAAAGAGATTTAACATGCAAAACTGTAAGCCAAGGTTAACACCTTGTGAACAGAAATGGACTCATTCTGATAAATTCGAGACATTACCAGATGTGAGGAGATATCGTGAAGCGGTAGGATGTCTTATTTATCTGAGCTATTGTACGCGACCTGATTTAAGCTATGTTGTCAGCAAACTGTCACAACATTTCAATGCGCCAACTGTTGATGATTGGACAGCAGTGAAACATGTTCTGAGGTACCTAAAAGGTAGTCGAGGAAAAGAACTGTGTTTTAGGAAATGTTCAAGTGGAAAACTAGGTCTACAAGCATACAGTGATGCAGATTGGGCATCCGATGTTTCTGATAGACGCAGTATGACAGGTTATTGTGTAAGCCTAAATGAAAATGGTCCTTTGATATCATGGAAAACCAAAAAGCAGACAACTACAGCACTATCAACTTGTGAAGCCGAATACATGGCATTAGCAGCAACAATTCAGGAATGTATGTATTTGACTTATTTGATTCAAGATCTTGATGAGTTTGAGTATGAAATACCTATGATATTGGAGGACAATCAGGGAACAATTGCTTTGTCAAAAAATCCAGTGAACAGACAAAGATGTAAACACATTGATGTGAAATATCATTTTATAAGGTCAGCTGTACATGAAAGGAAAGTGCTCATTGATTACTGTCCAACTGAGTCAATGGTAGCAGATATGATGACGAAACCAGTTTCAAAGTCTAAGTTAGACAAATTTTCTGTATTTGTGTTTGGAATGTAAGATGTTTTTTTCGGAGGATTGTTTTCCCCAACCTGTGTACAAGTGGGGGTGTTGGATTGTGTGTCCACAGGTGTTTGTACTTTGCGTCATAATAAAATGACGGTAAAAGGCTCCGCCCACTTCCTATCCATGTCTTACCATGCAACGACTCTGTGAATGGACTGGAGAAGTGTAGTGGTAGAGTCCTCCGTCTGGAATGAGATATGTGTGTCGACTTTTTATTCTCCCTTAAAATTATTATGCCATAACGCTGCACAGAGCAGCTCTGCTAACAGGGCCGCTTTGAGCGTTCACACTAGAGCGCGTTTGCTGTCGCATTTTATTTGTAGTGTGAACGAGCAGACAAAAAAAATCAGATTTGATCAAAAAATCGGAATTGAGCATTAAGACCTGCAGTGTGAACGAAGCCATAGTGACTGTCGAGCACAGTGGTGAGGCGGTCATGATGAGGGCTGGTTTTGCAGCCACAGAACCTGAGCACCTGCAATCATTAAATCAACCATGAAATCCTGTGTATACCACAATGTTCTTAGCTGAAATAGGGTCATGCAACACGACGACTGAACCTAAGAACAGCAGCAAATCTACAACGAAATGGCTGAAAAAGAAAATGAAGTCAAAGTCCAGACCGCAAACTGACTGGAATGTGGTGGCGACCTGAACAGAGCTGTGCGCGTTCGTGCAAATGTTCGTAAAGCTCATTTAATGGAAACAGCATTGTAAAGAAGAGTGGGCCAAAATGTATTTAAAGTCATACAGGAAATTATTACTTCATGTTACAGCAGCTAAAGGTGTTTCTACAAGTTACTAAACAGTAATATGGTATGTATGTAATATGCTGTTAATCTGAGGTTGTATTTACCAAATGTAAAGGTTGGCAAGAAGTGAAAAACTTTCATCATGTCCTGAAATGTAACGCTTTAGATTTGAAAGAGGGTGGAGGTTGTTTTTACAGCGAGTGTTTATGACTACCTCAGACTCACCACTCACTGAGTCAAGGGTCAGTGAAGTACTTACCAGCAAACAGCCCTCTAAACCCGTTTTCTGCCACAATCCTGCACATCACATAGAAGGTGGAGGAGGCCTGACCTGGCACTGCAAACACAAGAGCACCAATTAGCAACAAACAGCATCATCCAACCAAAAACAGAGCACAAGAGATGTGGGTTTAACAATAAAAGGCAGCAGCTTTGCCTCACATATTCCATCACATCCTTACAGATGAGCTGAGAAATATCTTCATCGCTATGTTCATCTGAAGCTGTTACACTCTCTAAACTCCTCTGAGTTAGAATTGTTTAGGACAATCTTATCCTACACTGTGAGTGGATATTCTGCCACCCGTCTTCATTGAGACCGTTTGATGTTTACACCGAGTGGTGCACACTGGCTTAATGGTGTTTTTAAGGAGCACATGCAGGAGGGCCTGTTCCTCACTCAGCAGTCTTTAAAGGGCAAGGCTTTGAAAAGAGGAGTGGGGTCTGAAACAGGAGAGAAGGGGGCGTCTACAAACAGCTGGAGCAGCCATCACCATCATCCACAGAGGAGGAAGCACACACTTGAGGCACTTATTTGTGTTGCTTATCAGCACTGAGAAGGTTTAAGTGCTCCACAGGGCTTGACTTGAGATGCTTGTCGACTGTCACTTGAAAGTGTTGTGGCCTCTTAACAGAATGAGGAAGCCTTTTTGATGAGAAGTAAAATGTTTTAAAGCTCATTGTTGCTTTTATTTAACTCTGCAGACTTGGGTTATTTACCATGCCAACACAAATATGAACATATAGCATCAACATAACCTCCCCAAGTAGCTGCAGATGTACATTTACAATCTTCAGAAGCTTTAATTTAAAAGAAATTAAGCAGATTTACAGTTCTTTGCTTGCAGCTCTCCAAGCTCCACCTGTTTTCTTGTTTTGACGACATCAAAAGGCAAAGTTACAATAGATGCAATCTGAAAGAAATGACAAAAATGAAATAAGAAATGATACGCTGTAGTTTACTTCTGCTTTTTTGCTATCAAATATGTTTATCTGCAGGCTGGAAGTTGAATTCTGTGGAGTTTTAGACGAAAAATTAACTTACAGATCCTGAAACAGCTCCGGATACAAAGGTGATGGTCAGCGTGGGTTCTGTGATGTTAGACAAGCCACACAGCCAGCTCTTGCCCATCTCGTAGTTGTACCAGTACATGGCTGAGAAGGGAACGTCTCGGAGAAGCGTGGGCCCCAAACCCCTCCACAGAGACAGCCAGCCCTCTTTGGCCACTGCTGAGCGGATGCACTGGGTCAGCTCCCTGTACGACTGCTTCTGAGACTGCAGTTTAGTGCGGATCAACTCCAGAGGACTGATCACCGTCACCGAACCCACTTTCACACAGAGGAGGAAGACAAAGCAGTTCATGAAGTGATTTGTTAGTGAAAGTAACATGCTGCTGTGGCACTTTTAATGATTGAGCCTCTTTTTTCTACTTTAATAATCACTTACAGGCCTGTAAGTTAGACTAAAAATAACACTAACATTTTCTAAATAAAATCTAGCTTGTTGGATAAAATCAGGAAGCCAAGGCCACGGTGCAGAAGGTAAGGGTGGCTGGCCTTGAGACCCCCAACATTGTTAAAATGCTGATGTCTGTTATTAGGCATTATATGGCATATTTCAGTAGCAGTAGGACAGCAGTCAGCTCACCTCTAGCAGTAGCTCCTGCAAGGAGAGGAGCCATCTGAGCATATTCTCCCATCCTGACCCTCAGTGCTGCACAGAGCTGGTCGTAACATGTGAAGTAGATCACTGTCGCTGGGACTGCCATCACACTGGAGAAGGCACATAACAGAAAGCACATAACAGAAGGTACATAAATCATGCCTTACTTATAAAATTTTCTAAGCAGGTAAAAGACAGCCACAAAAATGCATCTAAATTTAAAAACTGTGAAGAAAGTTCTGTTTAATGATGCGTAACATAATTAAATATTTGGTTACGATCATTGAAGAAACTCTGAGGTGGCTCACTATGAATAAATACCACATCAAAGGAAAACACTCTGCTGTAATCACCACTGACCCACCACAGCTCAATAACTCAGGCGCCCAATCAGGAAATAGAAAAAAATAGACTTTACACTCACAGTGTTGGAGGCAGACCGCTCCATAATGACCTGATTCCCTCACGCCGTACTATGTTGACAAATGCATCCTGCAGAGATTCAGAGTTAGGAGTCAGTGAAGGATGATGTGCTCTGTGGCACTCAGAGGTTTTGTACTACAACACCTCTACTTAATACAAGCAGGAACAGTTCTATCAGCCACTAAAGCTAAGTTTAACTTGTCAGACTGCTAACTTTAAAACATTATACAGAACAAGAAGCTCACTCTCTGCACAGCATTTACTTTTAAGGGAACATTATTGTTTTTTGTATATATTAATTTTGTTTTCTGTTTCTTTTTAAATTTTACTTTAAGAAGTTTGTAGTGCAGTAAACTCCACAGATGTATAATTTGATTATGCATCCATTCTGAAAGAGCAGGTAATGGATAATAAGTACTGATTTGTAAATAACTTCAGCTTATTATCTATTACACTGCAGTATATTTCTAACTAACTGGACAGCTCATTCTCTGATAATACTTTCTTTAAAGACATAATGCCTTTTGGAGTCAACTTGAAAGAAAGACAGATGTGAAATGTAAAAGTCAGGTCGGAGGTCAAATGTGCCATAATATTTAGATGAAATCTATAATGTGATATTTAGAACATGTACAATTTCTTCATTTTGCCAATAAAAACAAAAGCAGCAGAATTTAAAGCACAGTTTTACAGATAAATGATATTTTATGAAGATTAGACCTTATTTGATCTTGAGGAAAAGTTCATAGGTCCAAAGTAACCTAATATGTAAAATCTCCATCCCCAAAGCTCCCAAACAAAGGCAGTAGGAAACATAGTGGTAAATAGCTCTATAAAGCCTTCTTCTCAATCTGCTGACCTTGAGTAGAGGTCAAAGGACAAATGTGACATTACATTTAAAATCTTTATAAAAATAATATAATATTTATATTATATGTTCCCACTACACACCACACTTGTCACAGATTCTACGTTATAAGGCTTTTTGTCAATTTTCGACCATTAAATCGTTAAGTTGACCTTGACCAAGGTCAATTAACAAAGCAAGGCTTAAGAAGCAAGGCTTAATGAAGCAAGGCTTAAGAAGCAAGGCTACCGTGTTTACAGACAGAACGACACACAAACGATACTAAAAAACATGGCAGAAGGTAATTATAGAGGTAAACTGTAATGTGGATGTAAACTTTTACCAGCGTGCCACTAAAGTGACCTGGAGCTTTGTACCAGGCCTTGGAATTCCCATTTTCACATATACATATGTGGTCCATAAGTCCATTGCAGTAGACAAAGCATTTGCCTGAAAAATATTAACATCAACATTTAATACAGTGACATCAAACGCAGGCCGGCTGGATGTTCAGGTCAGCAAAATGCGAACATTTCGGTGAAGTTGTTACTGGCTAAACCAATTATTGAGTAAAATTCACTGCTGTTTCTAGTGTGGTAATGTGAAGCTAGCAGTACAACAAGGGTATGAAAATGTATGAAAATATAAAAGCAGTTTTGGAGCTTTGGATGTTTCATTGCAGGTATTAAACTCATCCTCCTTCACTGTTACACCGTCTCCCTTCCATTCACACACATGTATTCTGACTGTCCTGCCTCCACCTCTCAGGCTCTCTTCTAGCTGCTTCCTAATCCCACTCCTGATTCATATAGGTTATAAAGTTTATAAAGTGACAATTTATACTGCCCCTTAACTAAAATTAGTTTGACTCTCCTGGTTAATGGAGCCACAATAAACATAAAGACAGATCAAATGCTAAAACACAGGGACAAATGACCCTTTTTTAAGGGCCTCACATGGTTTCTACCTCTGTAATATCTCCAAAAAGTCTGCTATGGAAATAAGTTGATCTTTATTATTACTTTAATAATGCTTGTTTTTGCATGCACAGTATCACGGTCTGATATATGTAACATAATTTAAAACACAAATACAGTCAGTCAACACAGTGTAAATTCATTTCACCTTTGGGAAAGGGATTTTTCTGTGCTTGTAGCCTGATCTTCACAACATCCAGAGGTGTAACTGTAAAAAAAAAAAAAAAAAAAGCAACTCAACATGATTGCCTGTGTTCAGGATGTTTGTCACAATTTTCATTTAATCAGAGAACAAACAATCAAAGCAGCAGTTCAGGAAACTTCTCCAAACCTCCGATTGATCAAAATAATTTTATAACACAATAACAAGTTGTACCTCACAAACCACCAGCTGAGTGTTAGTTAATAAACAAAGGCATGCTTATTGTAATGTAATAAGCTGAAGTGTAGGTGCCTCACCAAACAGCGACGTAAGGATGGCACCGGAGCAGGACGCCACCATCTGTTGGAGGGGAGTAATGGCGCCGGTGGCAGGAGGAGCAGGACTTTCATTATTCATCCTGTCTTCATAGAAAACAAACAAACAGACAAACATTTGATTGCTTTTAATACGGCTCATATTTAATATTCACACAATAAATCATGACAAGGCTACGATCCCTAAAAAAATTACATGACAGGTCTCTGGCTAACTTTAGCAAGCTAACTAGCACAGTTAACTCCTTACCTACCTACTAAAGTCAGTCAGAATCAGCGACGTCTTTCGTGAACACGAACATTCCTCTCGGGGTTTAAACTATCCTCCTACTACGCCAGTTCCTGCTGTCCTAAAGTCTTTGAAAGCATAAACACGTGTGAAATTGCACCTGGGTAGTTCCTGACGCAAACAGAGCGTGATGACATAATTTAATTTCCAGCTGAGCACATTCCTTGACTTTAATAATTGTATTTATTTTTGTAACGTCAGATAAAATGACACTAAACGTGCATGTATACTACATTAAAGTTATTGTAAATGATACAATGTACTGATATAATTGTCTTCGTATAATTTACTTTAGTTTGATAATAGTGGGGAAACGCCACATCCAAGCATCAAGAATATGTTTACGTATTTTTTTGCGTTGCCAGGTTTGGAGAGCATTCCGTTTCACATCAACACCTCTGTTTTTGAAACTATCGATAATTGGACGGCTGTAACGTTCATAAAAGACAAGTTTTCAGATAAATAATATTACATTTGTTCAATTTAAAAACTAACTCAATAACATAGCGCCTTTTAACGTGGAAATGATTACGAAGTTGGAAAGCGTCAAACATGGCAACATACACCGTCTCCGACACCGGATTTAAAGCGGGAAAGGGACGTTAAGCAAATGGTATTGTTAAAGTTTATTATTTCTGGATGAGGAGCTGTAAAACCGTATAACCGTGGATATCCTGTGAGAAACAAATCTGCCGACAGAGGTTTAGGGACGTTTTTCGACATTTACTTGCATAAAAATGTGAGCAAAGAGGCTAATCGGCGAAGCTGTGTGTCCGCTGTGGAGGGAGGCTGTGAACGTACGTTAAGTTTACATTTAAGACCATTAAAATTGATTAACATGGGGACAGCGAGCACTGTGCTTCAGCTAACGTTAATGTTACATTTTGTTTACGCATTACTGTGTAATAGATGATTGTTTCCTTGCATTTTACGTCCAATTTTTCAAATATGCGTTTTCTTTTGTTTACACACAGAGGACTGACGAGGCCTTTGTGGAGTATGTTAACTCAAGACGAGGGGAGAAGAAAAGCAGCCTTTTCTCGATGAACGAGAATAAAATGAAGACAAAACGCAGTCAGAGGCTTCCGGGACCCAGCTGGCAAGGTACCTGTAGCGTTTATTTCCGTGTTTTGCATTTAAAATTTAAAACGTAGATTTAACCAAACTAGCGAACAGCTAACACCGTAACGTACGAATGTAACGCTAATGGATCTTTTGCGAAGTTATTTGATTGTTACTTTTCTTAAAAATAAGCTCTTTTGAACCAGATTGACTTGAATGTTAAAACAGTTGATATAGGTTCGTTTGTTTACTTAGCTGCTAATTCAAGTAAGGATAAACTTGATATAAAACGTGCTTTAAGCGTCAAGTTTGTCATTGGAGATCCTAATCCAATCTCTCTTTTTGTTTATGTTTAATCAGTGTCTGGGAAACTCGCTGTAAAACTCAGTTGTCTGATAAAAATCACTTGTGAAATGGTTTAACATTTAAGTCTTTCTCTTGTGCAATAATGTTATTCAGGAAAAGGTGGACATACTAGTGACAAGGTGAAGCTGAGTCAGGCGAAACGTACATCAGTTCCCACACAAGTCAAGCCTTTTGCTGGAAAAGTGTTTTACCTGGACCTACCATCAAACAGAGTTGCAGAAACTTTGGAGAGTGACATCAAACAGCTTGGAGGGGTGAGACATTATTTGGTTACATTCACTGGCTCAAACTTGCATTTTGTCACACTGCTTTTGTACTAGCTTAACATATGAACTATGAAGCTGCGTATACACACCAGCCACTCTGTTGGGTACACCTATTTGTTCATGCAAATATCTAATCAGACAGGCTGGTCTGAGTATTTCAGAAACTGCTGATCTAACGGGATTTTCCCACACAAGCAGAAAATATCCAGTGAGCAGCAGGTCTCTGGGCAAAAATGTTTTCTTCATGTCAGAGGAGAGTGGCCAGACTGCTCCAAGCTGCTATCAGTAACAGTAACTCAAATAGCCACAAACAAACAATGTACATCACATCAAACCTTGAAACAGATGGGCTATGGAAACAAAAGACCACACTGGGTGACGCCCCTGTCACAAAAAAAGAGCATCACATGCCTACAATTAAAGCTACAATTCACACAGCATTACTTAAATTGGATGACAGTAGACTGGAAAAAGAAGCCTGGTCTGATGAGTCTTGATTTATGTTCTAACATTTGGATGGTAAGCTTGTTTAGAAAAAAAACAACAACAACAAGAAAGAATTGCCCCATCCTGCCTTGTGTCAGTGGTTAGGTTGTTGTTGGTGGTGTAAGGATAGGGGTATTTTCTTGGCTCACGTTGGGACCAGTCTTCTTGCTGACCATGTCCATCTCTTTATGTCCACATTGTACCCATCTTCTGCTTTCAGCAGGGTAACATGGCTAGTCACAAAGCTCAGATCATCTACATTTGATTTCTTGAACATGACAGTGAGTTCACTGTACTCAAATGTGCTCCACAGTCACCAAAATCTCAATCCAATAAACCACCTTTTTGACATGATGGGAAAAGGTTTTTCATCACGGATGTGACGCTGATAAATCTGAAGCAACTGTGTGATGCCTTCATGTCAGTATTGACCTGTTTGCAGGAGTTTGTTGAATTAATGTAATGAAAAATTAAAGCCTGAGGTCCAACCAAATACTCCAGTACTTACTGGAGAAATAAGTCAAAACTGAATACATTTCACTCAGAAGTAGTATGACTAGAAAATGCTAGTAAGGTTACAAACATGACCAGACATTCAGTAATATTTTTCTTTTAAAGGCTCTGGGACATGTTTACTCTGTGAATTGAATAGACAAATAATTATTCTTGAGTTTTTCTCAAAACATTTTATATTCTTTATCTTTTCGCTCAGACTGTGGAGAAGTTCTTCAGTAAGGACATCAAGTATCTGGTATCTAACAAGCGGGAGGCTAAATATGTGAACTGCCTCAGACAGGACTCTCCTGTTCCTAGCCCAGACTCTGGACCGAGTTCGCCGTATCCTTGCTCAAACCCACACCGGCCTGGCAGCCATGGCGACATCAAGAGCAGATCTCAAGGACAAACCGACACGGTGAATTCACCATGATGTGTCTGTTTTACCGGGATTGATCTCACTTCTTCTCTGAACCTGTAGATCATTTTTCTAGTTATTGATATACTTTTGCATTATCTGTTGTTGTTTTGCAGTTTGTTACAAGCCGAGGGAAGTTTCTGGTGGAGAGAGTAGTGAAAGAGCAGGTTTGTTTTGTCAGCATGAATGATACTTACTGAGGGCTCTTAATTGCTCTGCTAATACACACTTGTTTGTTTTTAGGAAAGGATTCAAGTAAACAAGATCCTGTCAAACGCCCTGGAGTGGGGTGTGAAAATCCTATATGTAGATGGTATGTTTTTTGTGTGTGTGGTATCTGTTTTAGTTGAAGTAATTTTTCTTCTTTGTATGAAATTAAGTTCATTCTGCTTTGACATCTGTGACTTTTCTAAATTTATTTGTGCCAATTCCAGATTTAATGGCATATGTTCATAAGAAAAAAAAGATCATCAAAAGCTCAGTTCCTGCAGCCACTGTGACCAAATTATGTGTAAGTTGAGAATTTCCAGTGTATACTAGGAAAAATAGTCCAACTTTATATTAAGTTATTTGTTTAACATTGGAAGTGTTCACTTTTTTCTGTCGTTTCTAACAGGACAAAGCTGATTCTGCAGCAAAGCAAGGCCTAGAGAAATGCAAAGGTAGACCCCACCCAGACAAATTACTGAGCTTTGCTGGTATATTTTAGTTGACCTCTTCAGGCTGGTATTCTTCTTCTTGCTTTGCTAATAAACGATCTATGTTTTGTATTCCAGGCGGGCGGATTGGTAAACCTTTCATCAAGGTTGAGGATTCAAGTAGGTAAGAAGTCAGTCAGAAGAATCCAGCATCCACCTGCTGTCATGAAATTGTTCCTGTGATTTTTAAAATGGTTTCCTTCTCTTTTGTCAGGCACTACCGTCCAATCTACCTCACAATGTCAAACATGCCTGAGTTCAACCTGAAAACCACTGCTCCCTGTAGTCCGTTCTGTCCTGAGGAGAAGGATCCTCCTGCAAACAAACAGCGGGAACAAAGGTATGTCCCCTTCCTTTTTAAAAAAATCTCTCGCCACTTTAACCCCACCAATTTTATACTGGTGGGGTTAAAGTGCTGAGTGCTGCTTAAACATTTTAAATATGCTATGGAGTGCAGTCACAGTTTCCCCATGTGTCTTATGTAACTTGATCAAAAACTAATATCAGGTCATCATGAGCATGAATGTCCTGGCAAGTCTGGTATTGTAATCATTTGACCCTGAAAATTATCAAGGAAATCCTTAAAAGCCTGAAAATACCATGACAACCATGCCCATGATAGGTGTAAGGCTATCTCTGATCATAGCTGTGGGTCTGAAAAGTTCTGAACCATGCAATTGTAAATGGTACTGCTGGAGCTGCTCAAGAGGTCTTAAATGAACTCCTGAAGAGTTTATCAAAATACTAAACTTTTTTTTTCATTTGCTTTATTTGCTAATCCTCTGGGCTACTCTGAAACAGAGGTGTGAAAGCCTCAGTCAATGAGGAGAGAGCTCAAGGACGAAAGAAGAACAGAGAAAAGAAACGAGGCGGCTACTGCGAGTGCTGTATGATCAAATACAACCAGCTTACGATGGTAAGTTTGTAAAACTGTCACATGGCACAGTGCACACAAACTGTTTTTACAATCCTGCTATTTCTAAATGTGAGAACTTCCACACAAGCACTTATTTTGAAAGTCTTTGTGCAGATGCTAAGAGATAAATAATCCCTGGTGAATGATCTGGTATGAGGGGGTATGATTTCGGTTTGGTTAACATCCACGAATTTTCACTTAAACCTGTTTTTGGAAACAAAATGGAGAATCTTTGACTGAAAAATGGCAAAATCCGTTTTAAATGCTAAACAAGGTGGTTAGCACTGTTGCCTCACACCAAGACGGTCCTGATTCAATTCCACCATCAGGCCGGGGTCTTTCTGTGTGGAGTTTGCATGTTCTCCCCGTGTTTGTGTGGGTTCTCTCCGGGTACTCCTGATTCCTGACTAAAATG